CCAGGATTCCCTCTTCAGCTGGGCCGTCAGCTCGCAGAGGATACCACCGCTGAGCAAAGATGACTGCACACACACACACACACACACACACACACACACACACACACACACACACACACACAAACTGCACACAAGCACAGGACGTTTTGATTTCAATGGTTATTTATTAAATGTAAAATATCTTTAGCACAGATTAAAAATCAGACACCTCCATTTATTTGAAACATCACAGGCTGAAAAAACAAAACATTTCTGAAACAGAATCACAATCCCTTTGAAATCCTATTTTCAGGAGAGCTAGTCCACTAGGCCGAGGGCTGAGGCAGAAACTGCTCCCTGGTCCCTTTACTCACTGTGGCAATACGCCAGGAAGCACTTTCCAAATTCATGCTGTGGCCTCATGACATTGGATTGTAGAAAATAAGTTGTGATTAAAAAGTACTATTAGAATTAAGGTTTTTTACCGCTTATAGATGAAGGAAAACAAATCTGTAATTTACAAATCTGTAGTTTACCGTTTTCTTAAATAGGGTGAAATAGTATCAATGAGGTGACTTCAAATACCAGGAGGCTGCTTGTCTTTGATTGACAGCTTCCATCATTCAAGTACCAACAATTGTAAGCACATTATTTTTCCTCCAACCAAAACAGTTTTTTGACCTGCTGCACATCCAGAGGGCCTTCACATGAGCATGGACATATGCTGTGATGATCTGTAGTTCATGCCAGGAGCTGAACCTCTCAAATGGTGTCCCAGGCATTAAGAGCTTTGCCAACATATAGCACTGCTGCTGAATTGGAGTGCCATCACAGAGGTCAGCTGCTCCTCTCTGCTCTGCCTCAACCCTCGCTGCTGTACAAATGCCAACTGACAACCACTGACACAGATGGTGAGCAGAAACACAGAAGGACAGGCAAAGGAAGAGAACCACCCACAGGAGTAAGAAAACAGGAAGACTCTACACACACTGTCCAAGAGAGGATATTGCCTGACAATAATATCAACTCCATATTTTAAACCTTTTTTTGTATCTTTTCTTTTTTAAACCTTTTTTAAATTATTCTTTTTTTTTAGCACATGCCATATGAGAATTTGGGGATTATAAAAGTACCTGAAAGAATTGCTAGGTTTTCAGCATGCATAGCTGTTTGTATTTACACTTTGTATGTACAGGGATGGGCCAAAAACAGACTGCTCTACAGTACTGGGTTTATTTACATCCAGGTCAGAGGGAGATGTCATAACTACAGATGTGGGGGGTGAGGGGTCACATGCAAAGGGTCAGAGAAAGATCGTACGGCTGAGTACAACTTGGTTGATGAAGACACAGAACAGAACACAGCAAAGTAACAATACTGTTAATTCACAACATCACATCTCCCCCACATAGCCTTTTTGCTTTTGAATACGCTAAGGAGTTTCAGCAACTGGTTATTGCGTAACGCTATATAAGGGCATTTCTATTGCATGTCCATGGTTTCCATGAGAGTCAATATTGAGATTGGAAGACTTGGATCTGATCCCAGAGCAGTTCCAGAGCCGTAGTAGTAGATCTCAGGCTAAGTGCAGGCTCATTGCTGCTTATCTGCAGTCAGCTTATTTGTTGGTGTTTTTGAGTATTTTCTCACCATTTTAGATGTTCATTTCCACATATACAGAAATACACAGAACTGTCCTGCTCCTTTGGTTTGTCATATTGCTTGGCAATCTTTATTTTTAGCATAGAGGATCATTTTAGATTTAGTTGTTGTTTTGGTGCATATCATTTGTCCCGTCTTCTCCCCTCCCCAAATCATTGTGGTTATAGCAGAGCTCTTTTTCTTTTGGGAATGTTCAAGCGAAGTCTCAACTAAATCCAAATCAGTCCTGGTCAAGTCGTAAGTCTTCACTGGAGTCTTTAGGGCCTTAGAATGTTGAGTACATGATCAGATAGTCTGAATAATAATAAGAAACAGCGATAAATGTATGTAGGTGAATCAATGTGGCTTTCTGAAAGGGCCAATTGCACAGCAATAGGCGGGCATGTGACCAACATTAATTGAATCACAATAATTAAGTAAATGCACTTATTAACTACAGATACAAAACCTTTGCAGTAACCCTCAACACAACCAATTGCGGCATATTATTATTGTGTTAGAACTATTTGAAGTCTCATGTCAAGTCCACCTGTCAGGCCAGTCAGAATCTACAGCTCTGAGGAGTAGTATTAGATCAACTCTAAAACACCACAGATGTTTCTCTGAAACTACTGTACACAAGTAATGCTTCACATTTAGTTGCAGAAGATAGAAAGACACAGCGAAATCCATCAGTTTGTAGAGAGCAACATTTACAGGCATAATCTACAGTTTAACACGGGTTAGAAATGGCTGTTATGATGCACACAATTTCATTGATGTAACCTTCGATGTAGATCGTCCCAAGTTTTTATTTGAGTATGTGATCGTGCGTGTGTGCAGGCGCATGCTCGTGTTCAGACATGCACAGATGAATACTGTATGTGATTTTGTCAAATTGTGTAATGTGTGTGTATTGAAAATGTTGGACACCCCCTCTTGTTCTTTTTCTCACTATCGCGCACACCCCTTGCCTCCTATCTGGAAATACACACACACACACACACACACACACACACACACACACACACACACACACACACACACACACACACACACACACACACACACACACACACAATGATAGATGGCTGTGGTGGGTGGTTGAGCATGTTAATGCCTAATCTCATCAGCCTTATCTTCTGCAGAGGTCACAGGGTCAAGTGGTGAGGGGATGAGCTAAACACCAATAAGATAGCACGTTGGTGGAGACACAGCACTAACAGTGGATGTACTGCTCCATATACCACTAACTAGACTGTTGCAGCGCATAGATAAAAAGCAACTTAGTAAAAAAATCAAATACTGAAGTCATCATTATGAAGTCAGCCACCTCCATCTGGATTATGAAATTGAACGTTTTTTTTTATCAGTTTTTTTTTACTTGCAGCAGCACCAGTGTTTGGTAACCGAACACAAACAAACTGCTTTGAAAGTCAGCCAAGTTCAAGGCGGGCGTCAGCGAGTCGGAGCATGCAGCACTGAAATCTTCAGTGGAGTTTAAAAGGCATTTAGCTTTCAGACGAGCCAAATCAGATGCCCTAAGCAAGGGAGATGAGTTAAACTGAGCGCGTGTGAACCTGCGACTCAGAGACACTGCTTGGCATTTGTCTGTCTTTGATATGGAGACATGTGATGTGGATGAAGTTATCGCCCCACTGGCAGGTGAGACAGACAGCGGCACACACAGAGATGCTGCCGTTTCATCTGCTGTTTACCAGCTCTCTCATCACACTGCACTTCAAACACACTCAATCTGCTGCTGCGACGTTACACACCAGAGCTACTGGCGGAAGTTTCCTAAGAGCTTAGAGGGGGGTTGTGTGTGTGTGTGTGTGTGTGTGTGTGTGTGTGTGTGTGTGTGTGTGTGTGTGTGTGTGTGTGTGTGTGTGTGTGTGTGTGTGTGTGTGTGTGTGTGTGTGTGTGTGTTAATGAGAAAAATATTTCTTGGAATCTGCTTGATGTGTGTATTTCAATCATTGCATTTGCATCTATATGCATATGTTTGTACTTGTACATGTGAAAGTATAAATGCTTTAGACCTCAATGGATCTTTCCACTTCATATGTGTTTGTCTCACAACTGCTTTAGGAAGCTGTTCAAACAGTTGGCATGTAACGTGACTCCATTATGCATGTGTGTATGTGTTTGTGTCTTGCCCATGTTTGACTGCTACGTACAAGGGGTTGTCTCACAGCGTGCCAGTGCTCTATGCTAAACATTAGTCCTCAGCCTCCACATCAGCGTTCCCTCTCACTCTCTCTGCCCCCCCCCCTCCCCTTCCTCACTCTCTCTGCCTCTCATTGGGAGATAAAGAGGCGAGCCATTTCATGTGGCCGTATAGAAGTTGTCTCCAGCCCCGGAGTTTGCAGGGAAGCTGTCACAGCAGCTTTTAGCCCGAGCTGCAACATGAAAGATCCCTCTTTGAGCAGTTGGGTTATGTGTGTAATTCTCTCCGACGTGTTTATTCTGCTGCAGTTTTAACATTCATTTTCAAATGTCACAGAAATCTCCGTCCTCCAAGAATATCCCTACTAATTACTGACTGATGGGACGTGGTGCATTAGAGAAACTAGCAGGTTGCGTCCAAATAATGTTTTACTTGTTCAGTTTGTCTCGGCTTTAGACTTGAGTGATCTTTAAATGTAAACTAAAAATGAGAAGACTTACTGAGAGAGCTTGAGAAAAAGCCTTGTGGCATGTTCGTCTGTTTGTGAACAAATCTATAACAACCAACGTCTGATTTAAACACGTACTTGCATCATTTCCAATGCATATTCTCAACTTTGAAAGCCTGGCTGCACCCATACAGTATACACATCATCTGAACATATACATGTTCATAACCATAGCATTAACACTTTTACAGGGCCCATAAAAGCGGTTGTTTCCTGCTGATTCCCACAGACAGAAGCTGGTGTAATTTTCATGTCCTCAGATTGTCCCGTCTTTACATCTGTTGCATTCTCATGGTCCCATATAGCCAGAAGTCCTGTACACACCGGATAGAGAAATAAATAAATAAATATATGTATATAAATATATGTACAGTAAGGGGTTATGCTGCTCCCATGGTAATATGACCCAGTCATCATGGGCTGCAGAGCGAGAGACAGCGTGTGTAGTCTTTTTTTTCTTTCCTGTTGACACTCGGTCTTGATGTGTCTCTTGTCTATCGTGTATGTCTCACAGAGGACATAACATTGTAGTTGGTGTCCGCTGTTCGTTCCCTTCTCTTCTTCTCTGGACAGGACATGTCCTAATGTGTGAGTCAGTGAATGTGTTCTCTTTATTTTGTCTCCTCCCGCAGGCTGAGGCCGTCTCGTTGTCTCGTGAGTTGCCCGCTGACCTCCAATCTCTTTCTGTGTGTTTCTCCGTAGCAACAAGGGGCGGCCACCACGGTGTATTGTGCCGTGGCTCCGGAGCTGGAGGGCTTGGGCGGCATGTACTTCAACAACTGCTTCCGCTGCCTGCCGTCCAGCCAGGCCGAGGACCAGAGCAGCGCCGCCAGCCTGTGGGAGCTGAGCGAGCGCCTGGTGGCAGACGGGTCAGCAGGCATACAGGCCCTCTGATGGACAGAGGGGAGGGGGGAGGAGAAAGAGGAGGTGGAGGACTAGCCAAATCATCTCAAAGAGGAAGGGTGGTGGGTTACGGTCATGACCAGTTAGGTATGAACTGAATAAAAGGTAACTGTATTCTGACTGCACAATACAAGAGAGCTGCCACAGCACAGAAGTCCATCTGGATATGTCACGTCACTACGGGGGCTAAAACACATTACACCTACAGTACAGAAGGGGTTCTCATATACAATCTACTGAATAAATGAAAGTTGTGTTCAGCTCTGCTGTGATAGTTTACAATGGGAGGTAGGGGGTGGGAGATTTAGGACAAATTCAGGGATGTGTTATGTTTGTCTCTAGCTTTTTATAACTTTCTTGATTATTTTTCATTTATAAATTGTCTTTTTAAAAGTTCATAAAAGGTACTGACCTGTCTTGCTAAGAATACAGGGTTACCTAATAAGCAAACACTCCATGGCATATGCATCAGTTTGCTGCAGTAGTGCACTGAAGGCCCAATATTGTGTCTTCCCAATTCAATTCAGTCTCTAGTTCCACGAAGATGTTTCCTATTGAAATACAGAGATCGTTGGTTAATCATTGTGCTAAATCTTTTTGGGCATAGAAGAAAAAAGGAGTAATGGGCATGTGACACTCATGAATATATAAACACACTAGAGGTATGATTCTTATGACTATATACATTATTCTGCAATACTTGTATTTCTTATCAATGTCCCTATTCACTTTCTGTACAATATTTACAATATCTTAATTCTGGGCATGTGCTAAAGGGGTGTGGGCATAATCGTTTGTTATTTTTATTTAATCTATACTCTGGTAAATCTAAATGATAATTTGGAGGTATTTGTGGGATGATCCATGTCCGCTTGAGTAGTCCAGGACCTTGAATTTCTGTGTTTCTTCCCCTGTTGTTTGAGTAGATGAATGTGAGGGATTTCCATCTCCTGTCATTATTTATCATCATTGTTTTAATATTGAATCTGGCTTCGGGGTTTGCTGTGGATTGGTCGCCTTGAAGCCGCTGTTGGGTCGCTTTTGAGACATTGTGCTTTATGGCAGTCTGGGTGTTGAGGTTGCTCTTGAAACATCAGCATTCCAGTGTCATGATATCTGTAAGAAAAAACAAAATGGGAAAAAAACAATTAATAAAAATCTGTTTAACAGTAAGATCTGTGTGAAATTATTTAAGAACAAAAGTGGAGGTGCATTCATCTGGAGGCCATTAGGGGGAGATATTTCTGTAGCTGACAAGAGAGCAACTCTGGAGTATGACTAAGAGGGACTGTTTCTGAGGAAAGTATTAATTGTGTATTAAAAAAGCCAAAACATTACACAGAGTTTAGTGACACATTTAATGAAACATTTTCTCCAAGCTTTGCTCAAATGCTTTATGACAGGAGTTATGTGCAAAAGAAAGATCAAACATTCAATCATAAATAACACATTCAGAACAACTCTGTTCTTTTTGGTCCACACATAGACACAAAGTCAGACCAGCGGAGCTGTCTTTTTATTTTTCCTGTCCCTCCGATGCAGACACACTCACAGAACACACACTCACAGAACACACACTCACAGATATAGCCAGAAACATGCGGAGCCTTGACACAGCCATGGCCGGCAGAGAAACTGATACCAGTGTCCTGCCCTGTCATAATCTGTCCTGCACCCAGAGTACAGCTGTCTTATCACTGTCCTTTCACAGCACTGCACACACACACACACACACACACACACACACACACACACACACACACACACACACACACACACACACACACACTGCAAGAGCACTCGCAGTCTTTTATGTACCCTGCGAGGAAGAGTGGGAAACCAAGCAGATTGTTCTAACTATTCAGGGTCGGAACAAAGCTGTGACCCATGGATGAAAATGGCCATACTGAAAAAGAGTAAACAGCAGTGTTATATTTGTAATTGTGTAATTGATAACAAGGACTGCCGATGGACATGAGCTATTAGCTCAAATCTGGAATAATTAATCTCTTCTCTTTTCTGGGATGAATGTATTTGTATGCATGGTCCTTGTTGAAATAAATACGTAATAAAACAAAACAAAGGAGTCTCACGACCGCTGTCCATGGTGCTGATCCGGCTGTGATTTCAATCTCTGCTACATTTAAAATAATTTTGTGCACACATGAGCATTTTTTTTCTTCTATAATGAATTATATAACATATCACCATGACACACACCTCTTTGAGAGTGAGACTAGTGTGTGACTGCAAACATATTTCCCGGTTAGTTTGTGTTTAGCGTGTCAGCTGTTTAGTTTCCCTCTGCTTGTTGTTAGACCCCAGAGACCTATTTAGTCAGTGGCCCTGCTGTGTTTTGTCATTTCCAAAAAACACTCCTGTTGGGCTGAGCCACCACTGGATATAGTAAAGACAACTCCTGCCTTATCTCTCAAGATGAATCCGACTACTGTAACATGACACACTTCAATGCTTTTGAAATAATTGTATTCAAAGGATTTCTAGACTGAGTAACTTCTTAAGATGGGTATTTTATTGCAGTTTCACAACCTGCTTCAGTGATGATCCTAAAGAGAGTAATTCCACACCTGAGACTTCTTCCTCTCCCTCACCTCCCTCCCTGCTAAAAGAGGAAGACTCAACAGAGGAATACAATAACTGACACTGATGAAGGCATCGTGCTCAGCTATCCCTGCATGTCTAGCTTATCAATGACAACTACATAAAAGTGGAGCTATGGGAAACAGGCGTTTGAGGAAGCCTTCGATTGGTGGGGCGGACCGGAGACACAAAGGAGGATCTTCAGGAGAACAAACAAACAACAGACGTCTGTGCACTGCAGAGGCCGATCCATGGGTGTGTGCCTGAGTGGAGAGGGAGGGTCCTGCCTGGCTTTCATACAAAGTCCTATCGATCAGGCCCGATCGGAATCATCTGATAGCTAATCAATAAGCTACACTTCCTCTCAGCGAGCGGGGGGGAGAGAGGAGCACGGCTCTCACAAGTGTAGGACCTTGATCCTTTGACCCAACAGTGGAGGCCACACACACACACACACACACACACACACACACACACACACACACACACACACACACACACACACACACACACACACACACACACACACACACACACACACACACACACCTGCAAACACACACACTTTTAATTCCTGTCTCTCTTCATTTCTCCGTCACTTCATCTCTCTTATAATAACTCAACAAGGCAATACAACAACTGCAAGCCTGTGCAAACCAAATAACCAATGTGCATTAGAATGTTATTTTAATTAGTTGGATTTACAGTTGATTTTTTTTCCCTCCACTGAGTTTATTTCAATTTCGGCCGTAATTGTTTACGACTGACCATTTCATTTTCCATTATTGTTTTTATTTCTTCTTGTGATTAATTTCACCTCTCAAGGAATAATTATGAGAGGATTGATCTGATGATGCCTTTGTTCTACTCCTATTGGCTCCATTGACTGAGGGAATGCCATGTTGCCATTTGGAGCGGATATATTTAATGATCACAATCAATGTTAAAGCTCTCTCTAGACTCAACTAACTCAATAAATATCTGCCAGGAGGAAATTTACCATCTAACTACAGCAGGCAATAAAGTCTTGCTCTCCGGTCTCCCCCTCCCCCTACTCTCTTTCCACCTCTCCCTTTTGAGGATGATATTGTGATTACAACTCTTGATCCATTTTCATAAAGTAATACTGCTGAGTCAATGAACACATTATGTCTTGGCAGCCTCAGTAGATCATTCATTTATAATATTTAAAGAAAACAAATCTTCAAGGTACAGTAGTTGATTTTATAACATTTTGGGGGGGCTTCTTTCCCTTTATAATATAGTTTACCTTTTCTTATTTATTTAACAGGCTTCAGATTCTTAAAGTTTATGAAATGAGTCTTTATACAATGTGTGTTTTAATTTACAAAATAATTTCAGGTGAAGGGATCATTCCTATGCACTTCAATACATACTTATAAAACATAATAATTAACACGTTAATTTTTATGAAACACACACTATCAAATCTCAACCCCCCGAAGTGTCTGACTCGTAGAGCTCAAGTGTGCATCCGTTTCAGGGGAACACACATCTGGAATGGCCTGTACTTCTCTGCATTGCTTTAAAAAAATGCCTGAAAAAAATACTATTGTATGATACCTGGTTTTCATATTACAATTTCCTTTCTTTTTTTACATGTGTGTAATTTGTATTCAAAGTTTTAAGTATAGAGTACATATATGGAAAGAGGGGGACAGATGGTACAGCATACAGCCAAGAGCTACTGGTTGGATTTGACATCCTTTATTAATACATTTAAAAACCTTTTTTTCAGAATAATTAAGTAAAAGTTGTGTTTCAAATGTTTAAACATATTATTTGAATGGACCTTTAGGAGGACAAAACCCCTACAGCCTCCTTGTTTGTTAAGTGTGTGAATGTGTGTGAGTGAGGCTTCTCAGGTAAACAGTGCAAGGGGGCTGCCCCGTCTTGCTGTGCCAGATACATTTCTTTAACTAACCACTAAAGTAGAAAAACAGCCGATGCTCAGAAATGCACTACAAATAAGATGTGGATGTTTTATATGACAGGAAGTACTGCATTTTAAGTAGCTCACTCTTTGCAAATGATGAACGTTTTGTAACACGAAGACACTGGAGTTGTTGGCAAATGCAACAAAGTAAATGTTTGTCTTGCTCTTTTATACAGATTATTTGAAGCAGCATTAATAACATTTGGATCCAGATAGATTCCGTGAGCGTGTTCACTATCAAATTCACTTATTTCCCCCCGAAGATCTACTCGTGCGATCTATAACTTTCTCTGTTTTTATTGAAGTCTCAACACGGCACCTTTGAGGAAATCCTTCCAGCCCCAAATCCCCAGCGTGTCCTCACCGCTAGACAGCATGACCTTGTAAACCCTGAGTTATTTTACTCACCCATTGTGTGAGGATAGAAAGAAAAGAGAGAGAGAGGGAGAGGGAGGAAGAGGAGGGACGGGGGAGGAAGAGAAAAAAGAGCTCCTGCCTGTCACGGCTTTCAAACACAAAGAAAAATGAGCACTTGGGCTGAAGTACAATTATTAGCCCCTGTCTACAGATTCATCACACTATAGAGAGGGAGGGAGAGGGTGGGGGGGAGATAGGGAGAGGAGGGGAGCAAGAGGTGGAGTCGAGGAAGGCAGAAAAAAGAGCTGTATAGGTATGGGCAGAGCAGTATGGGAGAGGGAAAGACAATGAGGAGAAACAACGGAGGAAATAGAAAATAGGGCTGTAACAATGTGAGGAAGAACTGAGTGGTGCGGGGGGTAAGGTAGAGCATGCAAAGCTACCGCAGAGTGGGGAGGAAAAGAGGGGGAGGGAGCTTTTAGGGGAATAAAAGAGTGAGGAAAAGAGAAAGAGCAAGGCAGAGGTAAAGGAAGGTAAAATGAAATAAGAGGATTTGTCAGGCCAGCAGTTGGTGGCAGTAATAAAGCCTGCTAATCTGAGGGAGAACGCTTGGCTGCTCTCACACTGACTCTCCTGACGCCCCACTTTACCACCAGGCCACGCCAAGGTCACACACACACACACACACACACACACACACACACACACACACACACACACACCTATTTCAGTCTTCCCCGTTACTCTTTTGTGAATTTGTACATGTGCTTTCCTCCTTCTTCCAAATGTTTTTTCCACAACTGCTGACCCCTCTCCTCACCGCCCTATCCCCCCACCCCCTCAGCCATGTTGATTTTGAAATCTCATTTTTCTCTGTTTCTTAACTGGCTCCGCCGTGTGAATCAATACCTTTCAAAACCATTACATAAATACATCTGTCACACGCAGATAGTAGAGTGAGTATGTGATGTGTCTGGTTAAGGCCACCGTAGGGTGAAAGGAGATATGATGTGTGTGTGTTTGTGCGTGAGTGTGTTTTCTCAGAGGACAGCGAGTGTCATTTTGTGTGACCAGGTGTGTCGGGCGGAGAGAAAGGTTGTTATTGAGCTGCGGTAAATGACGCATAACCTGGTGCACCGCTTACTTAGCCCCAGACCCCTGTTCTCTCTGTCTCTTCTTTTGTCAGTCAGAGTGTGTGTGTGTGTGTGTGTGTGTGTGTGTGTGTGTGTGTGTGTGTGTGTGTGTGTGTGTGTGTGTG